TTAGTCAGTGTAATGGGGACCCCCTCCCCCAGCCCCGACATTGGCTGTGACAGCCACCCTGTGCTGCACACCTGCCACGCGCCAGAGCTGTGCCAGGTGCCTAACGTGCAAATCTCGGGTTGGCCCTTTTCTAGGTCAGAAGCCTGAAGCCCAGGGGCCTGGGAAAGCAGCAGACGGGCGTGAGACTGCCTGAGCCGATCGCTCTGTCATGGGGTCACGTGAATGGCTTTGCTTTGCAAAGCTCTGGGCGAGCCACTCTGCCTGAGCCTCGATCTCCTCATCTGCCACATGGGCACCCTTCCTCATTCATACATCTGTGCATGTTCTCATCTTGCTTCCTCTCCACACCCTCCTGAAGTCCCAAGGCTCCATTTCTGAAGTTTCTCCCAGATCTACGCGCTTCCCTTCCATCTCCACTGCCTCTCCCTCGGTCTGAATAACCGGCTGCCACGAAGGCCTCTGGGTGCCCTCATGGCTCCCTTTGTGGCCCCTTCTAGCCCATTTTCTGTCCAGCAGTCCCAAAGAGCACTTCAAATGTGAACCTGGACCCCCTCCTAAGTCCCCACATGCAACTTTCTGTTCTCCAAGTGAAGGGCTGGCTTCCTCGCCCTGCCCCAGGAACTCGACCCTCTGCAGCTGCATGTGCACAGACACGGGCCTGGGCCTCACTCTGCTTGTCTCCAAGTAAACAGAGCAAATTGCCCGGCACTGAGACACAGACGACGTGAGCTCTGGCCTGAGTCCAGAGGGCTCATGCACTCCTTGGAATCACTAAACTAGAGCCCTGTTCACACATATGCATGCATGTACATGCATGCATGCACGCATGCACCCCTGCAATAGGAAATTCCTTGGACTCCTCTAAACTGTCCCAAATACACCCCCCAAAAAACAAGCTGGGGCCAGGTGCAGCCAGCTTATGCTATGACACTCTTCATGGACACGTCTGCCTTTGTTCTGGTGGCACTGGCCTTTTTCTTTCTGTTCCTTAAAAGTCTACTCAGCAGTCCTTGGAGCATAATGGCTATGTCACTGGGCTTCCATGTAGTTGACTGTGGTTCGAGTCCTGGACCCAAGTAGCTTAGACTCATGCCGGACAGGTGTGTGTGCGTGCCCAAGGTCCCGAGAGGAGAATGAAGGGATTGCAGCATGGCCATCCTCCCGGGGGGGAGGGAGGGGGTGATTTCTCGCTTTCTGTCTCTCTCTTTCTGGCGAGTGCACATGCCCTATAGCAAAAACCTCTCAAAAAAAAAAAAAAAAAAAAAAGGCTACTCGGTCTTATTTTTGGAACTTCACCTAGGCTGTTTCTGACAGAAGCTCTTCCTCCTCTCTCTAGCTGGGCCATTCTTATCAGTTAGCAATGTGAGAGTCACTCCTCAGTGGGGTCCACTACGACCCCGAGAATCCACACATGCCCCTGGCCTTTGCTGTAACGGTCTCCCCTGACAGACCACAGGTCTCGTTCTCTCGCCCATCACAGCACCAAGCTCACAGCAATGGGTCTGTTCCCCCAGCCGCCCCCATCAGCACCCCACACATCCCGAGAGCAGGGCGGCTTGCACTGGAATCCCGGCACTCCGTGTCAGGACAGCCCTGGTCTGCGGGCAGGGCTCACCCACGGTGGTGATGGGCTTGGAGTAGGGCACGAGCCCCCAGGTGTCGGCGGAGAAGAGGCCCCGGCCATGGAAGATGCATGGAGCAAAGCCAATGTACTTCTGGAACTTCTTCTGGACCCATCGGCCCCAGGAGCCCTCCTCGAAGATCACCTGCTGGTACACCTCGTTCTCTCCAAAGGAGTAGATGGGAACCAGGTCGGCTCTGGAAGGGAGAGGCCAGGGCTGGTCACATGCTAATCACCAGCTTTAGCTCCTGCGGTCAGCCCTAGGGGCCCTGGACACCAGCCAAACTCCCCCTCCCCTCCGGGTGTCCCAGAACCACATGGGGGATCCCAAGCTCATGTGTCCCCTCACTGCCAGATTCTGACGGGCCCTCTGCCCACCTGCTGGTGACAGGAGAATGGCAGGTGCAGGGAGGACTGGCACCCTGGCCTGGAAGGCCTGTCTTCATCCACATCCCTCAGGGCCTGCTTCTGCTGGGAAGCTCTCCCAGTTCCAGCCCCAACTCGGCCCCTCAACCCTGACGCTACCCCATGTCATAGCTGTAGCATGCCACACTATCCCCATCTGTCCCCACAACTGCAGCACTGTCTGAAGAGAGGGACGGGCCTGATTTAACTCTGTCCTCCGGAGCTGGTCCAGCAGAAGTCCCCACAAACAGTCTCTTCTCCCAAAGTCTAAGGAAGTCTTCAGAAGAAGGGAGGAGCACTGTTATCACCTGGCCACCCCTAGCAGCTGGGCTCTCCTGGAGAGGCTCAGCCCCCCGGTCCTCTGTGTGGCTACTCTGACCAATGGCCCACTTCCCAAGATCCTTCCCTGAAAAAGGGGAGCATGGGGCCCAGACATCCTGTCTGCTTCTTAGGTGTCCCTCAGCGGGTCACTTAGCTGCACTGTTTTCTCCAATGAGAAATGGTGATGTTGTCACCTGCACGGCTGCTGGGGAATCAGAGGGGACCTTCAAGGTGGATGTGCCTTGTTAAATGGAATGTGCTGAATAGGTGAACAAAGAATGTGGCCCTGGCTTTCTAAAGGGGACCACAGCAACCCACGCCAGCCAGCTCCTCTCTGCCTGTCCTCAGGGACACCTGCCAACAAGCCTGCCTGATGTTCCCAGCCTGCCATCCTCCTTCCTGGCCTTCTGTCCCTTGAGCAATCTGGAACATTCTGGCCTAAGGGGGTTAAGTCTTCACACTGTCCCGCCTGTGAGTCAGACTGCTTGGCCTCCTTGCAAGGGCCCTGGGGCCACAGGCTCCATCTCTGCCCCATCTAGACACCCTGCCTACACGTGAGCACGCTTGGCACAAACTGTGTAGTCTGGCCTCCAACCTCCCCACCCTGGGCCCTGCCTGCAGAGGCCGAGGAGCCTGCTGCCCTGCACTGGGGCATGCTGGCAGTGTGTGTGTGTGTCCATGTGTCTGGGGGGCACTCACCCATGGCGCAGGGCCAGCTTCACGAAGCCCTTGCGATTGCGCAGCGTGACCGCGTTCTTGCCGGGCATGGAGCTCAGGGACTCAGCTGCGCCCCCCACCACGATGATGATGGCATTGCCACTGCCGTTCTTAGAGAGCAAGTAGTCTATGGTGTCCCGATTGACAGGGCAGATGCCTGGGCAGAGGGGGCGGAGAGTCAGGGCTGTGCACGGATGTGCTTCCCACCCTCGGCACGTAGTCAGGTAGAAAAGGCGTGGGCTCAAACCTAACCCACCCTCTGGGAAGCCAAGGGTCCTGTGTAAGCGATCGGTGGAGCCTCAGCTTACTTCTCTGGCAAACAGGAACTCACTCATTTGGCAAACATCCTCCAGGCCCCAACTCTGCCAAGCTGATTAACAGGTGCTGGGGACCCCAGAGGATTGGGCTTGTGGGGGGTCAGCACAGGTGGACAATGGCAATTCCGTTGTCCACTGCTCTAAGGTCCTTCCCTAGAAAATGGGAGCCTGGGGCTCAAACATCCTGCTCTGCTTATGTGTTCCTGAGCGGGTCACTTAGCTGCACTGTTTTCTCCAACGGGAAATGGCTATGTCGTCACCTGCAGGGCTGCTGGAGAGTCAGAGGGGACCTTCAAGGTGGATGTGCTTTGTCAAATGGAATGTGTTGAACAGGTGAACAAAGAATGTGGCCCCAGCTTTCTGGGCAGTGATTAGGCTATACGGAGATGACACAAGGGGGTCAGAGAAGGCTTCCTAGGGGACACCTATCTAAGAGGAACCCCGAAGACCGTGAGCAGCTCTACCGCTCAGCCCTGAGTCACTGTGGTCACGGCTGGTGAAATCTCCCAGTGCAGGACCAGCTGAGGGGCTGGGGTGTCAGGTCTGCTTGGCCTGCTCAGTGGAGAGCCTCAGGCTTTGACACTGCGGCAGCAGCAGGGGCGGGGTCTCACCTCCGGACATCAAGTACTCCCTCAGCACCGGGAACCGGAAGTTGCCGGCCAGCGTGGCCAGGTAGGGCCTTATGCCAGGGAACTTCTTGCTCACTTCCGTGGCCTCTGTGCTAAAGTTGCAGAAGGCACCCAGGCCCATGATGCCATGGGGGTGGTAGCCGAAGATGTAGTTCCTGGTGGTCAGCAGGTTGTGCGTCTTCACCAGCTGCAAGGAAGACCTCGGGTCTGAGAACAATGGCCAGGAGAGGGGTCCCGGGGGTGCCTGGAAGGCTGGGGAGGGCTTGCTGTGCTGGGCTCCATGGGACTCTGTGGGCCTAGAGAACTGCAGTGACTCTCCACACCTGACCCCAGATACTTTCATAAGGGCCAGAGCACGGGAGCCTCGTAGCCACTACCTGTACTGCAAGTCCTGAGGAAAGGGGTGGGAAACCTTCTCCCTTACTGTACGAGTCCTCCGACACACACCAGGCCCTTTTAGGCACATTCTGCCAGCCTCCTGCCTTCCCTTACTCTGGGCCTGTCCTCTGCACCATAGCCAGAGTGATGGCTTTAAAACCTGAAGCAAGTCCCTGTCACTCTCAGATAGGGAGGGGTGTGTGGCTGCCACTGGGACAAGTCCAAGTGCCTTAGTTGGACAGTCAGACCTGACTGAGGGCTCTCTCCACTGCCTGTCTCCCCAGAGTGTGAGCTCCTCGGAGGTAGGGGTCTACCTGGCCCCTCTGCCCTGAGGGCTCTGTAATGGCTCACAGACAGAACCTCCTACTTCCCCAGCCCAGAGAAGGGACAGCGCAACTAGCCTGCTTGGTAACTTCCCATCAGGCTCAGTGCAGGTTCTGCGGCAGGAAGGGCCAGCCCAGGGCAAGCAATAGCCCGTGTGCCAATCAGCCCTGGGGGTGGGGGAGGGTTGGCTATACGGCTGCCAGGACTACGACCTGACCAGTGTTATTATCAACAAAGTTGTCCTGGGATGCTCCTGAGCCTGCCCCGAGGCTGCAGGCATGGAGGGTGGGCTGGCACCATTCTCCCCGCCCAGAGCAATGAGCGTCATTGAGCCCAGACGCCTCCACCACAGTACAGGGCCACGAAAGGGGCAGAGAGGGCTGGAGAACTGAGACCAAGAGCATTTTGTCCCTAAAACATCACTCGTTCTCTGATTAGAAATATAATCAATACTGAGAGAGAATTTTCAAAAATGGAGGAACATAACACAATCAAAGCACCTAAAATACTTCTATAGATAAGCCTCTGTGACACAGAGTCCTTTTGCTAATCAAAAATACACGTTTTCTCAAAACCCACACAATTGGGGTAGGCCCCACTGTCCGTGGTTAAGGGAACTGGATCCCACATGGCCACTGCAGTTCAAATCCTGGCCACGGAAGCTTGACAAGCACACCAGGCACTTGTGTGTGCATTCCTAAAATCCCACAGGAGAACGATGAGGGGGGGATTGCTGCGTGACCTTGCCCTGTGGGGTGGGCGGTGCCCTCCCTTTCATCTGCTGTGTCTCTCGGGCAAGTGTACGCCTACTCTGGCCATTTAAAAAAGAAAAGGAAAAGGAAAGCACAAAAATCAAGGTTCTGTGGTTGATATGACCGTATATAATTCTCTACCAATACGCCATAACTGTTTCTCCTTATGAAAACCCCTTGGAAGCAAGCCTTCCTCGGATTCTACCACACGGCTGTGCTACGTGGATGGCTCGGACTCAAACCCCAACTGCGGGGCTGGTTGGTTTGTTTCCGCTAGGATGTGTGTGAACGTGCCAGAGATAGACGGAAAGAGACAGAGAGGAGAAAGCCCCCCACCCCCGTGGGGCAGGGTCACACCGTAATCTCTTCTCCTCAGTCCCTTTCTCTTTCTGGGATCTTGGGCACACATGCACACGCACCCAGCGTGTTTCTCAAGTTGCTAGGTCTGGAACTCCAACCCTGTGGCTGGCCACGTGGAATCTGGCTGCATTAACCACCAGGCTACAGAGCTGTCCCCTACTGGGCCTTTTTTTAAAACTCCCCAATTTTTTCCTCTTAGAAATAATGCTTCAATACATGCCTTATATTTGCCCACATATCTGATTGTTTCTGAGAGACCAATTTCTAGAAATGCAATTCCTGGGTCAGAGGGAATGAACATGTTGATCTTTCTGACAGCCAGTAACACCTCCACTTGAAATGGAGTTGCAAATGTCCCTTCAGCACAATGATGCCTCCTGAAAGCAGTCACTGGCAGGATGCCAAGGACTGGGTCCTCTGCGACTCCGGGTTTGGAAGCCTCTTGCCTGAGGGGAAGACCTGGTACTCAGCTTTTGGGAAGGGATGCTGTTGGCTCACCTCAGAAAACTCAAACCCAACTCGGCAGGTGACAGGCCCACAGATGGAAAGGGTAGCTGTCACCACACCCAGCTCCACAACTGTCAAGCGTGTGGCAACGTGAGCAAGGTGCCCCGCTTCACCACCTTTGCTGTGGACACGTGCGCTCCACCCACGTCGCCTTCTTTGGCAAGCAGGTTAGAGCAGCTTGAAACGCAGCTGACTGGCAGCCACCTACCAAATTAACCGGGAACAGGCCTGCTCCGCGGCTAGGGAGGAAGAGAAGCAAGGGCATCTCAGAAGAGCCCACTTCTGCTTTTTTTTTTTTTTTTTAAATTTATTTAACTTTCTTTTGAATTGACGAGAGGGACAGAGTGAAAGAGAGAGAAAGTGAGAAAACAAGCCACCAGGTCTCAGACTCAAACCTTGGTCAGCCATGTGGAAGTTCAGCACCTTTAACCACCACGCCACCTGCCAGCCCCAAACCCACTTTTCCAAGAACTTTGCCAGACTGAAGACCAGGTCTGGAGCCAGCAGGTGGTGTGGTAGCTGGGATGGCTGGATCCACATGGACGATTGTGCAGTTCAAGTCCCAGACCTGATAGCATGAAAAACACACCAGGTGTGTGCGCATGCATGCCCAAGGTCCCAAGAGGAGAGTGGAAGAGAAAGGAGTACAGGGTGGCCATACCCCCTGGGGGTGATTTCTCTCTCTCTTTAAAAAAAACATTAAAAAAAAAAAAGTGGGTCTGCCCACCAAGTTGGCACTAACTTGAAGCTGGAATTAAAAAGTGCTTGGTGCCAATTTCCACAGGAATAGATGGCACCGAGGTTGTAGCCAAGACCAGCCGGAAACTTGCTCCGAGTGGATGGCAGGCACAGCCCATCCTGGCAACCAGGAGCCCACAGAGCTCAGAAGACTAGGCCCTTGGAAGATGAGGAGGGGCCCAAGGTCTGGGGAAAAAGAGTCGCTGCTTTCCCAGAGGTGGTGCTGGTGGCACTGCTCCCACGAGGCCCACCTCTGCCAGGAGGGCCTCTCTGGGAGAGCTGAGCTGCCCTGGTGGCAAAGAGCAAAGGGCTTCTGTGAGGAGTTGGGAGGTGGATGGGTGCAGCTGGGGAGCCTCATTACATAATCGTTGGCAATGGGCGAGGGAAGGGGTGGGACAGGAGGGCCACACGCAACCCTCTCGGAGCATCAGATCTGACGTCAGACCCCTCTGGCCAAGTCCTCTCTGCACAAGAGGGACAGGAGCAAAGCTCAGCACTAAGGGCAGAGTCCAGCCTAGGCCTCTGGTGGAGCTCAGCACCCAGCCTGTGTCAAGCCTAGGTTAGCTTTGGTTCTGGTGCCCAGGGGCCCACATGGGGACAGCTCCACATGTCCTGTGGCTCCAACTCCCAGCTGGCTTCTTGGAAAAAGAGGTGATAGGACAGGGGTTTGTCTTTGTCCTTTTCTTCCTTCCTTTCTTTCTTTTTTTTTTTTTTTTTATGGTTTTACCTTAGGGCTCATGTGCTTGCCAGAGAGAGACAGAGACAGAGAGAGGGAAAGTAAGACATCGTCCCCGAGGAAGGATGGCCACGTCACAATCCCTTCTCCTCCGATCTCCTCCCAGGATCTTGCGCACACATGCATATGTGCCCAGCGTGATTTTCAGGCCACTGGGTCTGGGATGCGAACCATAGTCAGCCATGTTGGAGTCCGGAGATATACCCGCTATGCCATCTGCTGGCCCTTGTTTTGGTTCTTTTCAAAGGGTGGATATCAGGTAAATGACCCCTGCCTGTTCCGGGTCTGACCAATGGTCATCAGGACATCCTGGTCTGAGTGCAGCGGCTACAGGCCACTGCTGGGGAGCTTTCCAAGGACCAGACCACAGTGGCGGGACAGAGCAGTGGGTCCTGGACCCCAGGGAAGATGGAGACAGCAGAAAGAGCAGAAGCTATCATCACTCCTACCCAACTATCATCCCTCCCCCCATACCAGGAGTGGTTCCATTTTGCAGATGAGACCAATGAGGCTCAGTGAACTTGAAAAAGTCTGTCCACAGGGTGGTGGGCAGACAGGGACAAAGTTCAGCA